GCCCCCATCTCTACAAAAAATTTTTTTTTTATTTTAGCTGAGAGTAGTGGCACATGCCTATAGACCAGCTATTTGGGAGGTCAAGATGAAAAGATCACTTGAGCACAAAAGTTTAAGGGAGCAATGAGGCATGATCCCAACCATGGCAACCCAGCTACAGCAACAAAATGAGACCCTGTCTCTAAAAAATAAAAATAAAAACTAAAATGAGCAAGAATTTTGTAAAATTATCTAACATGTATCCATTTTATATCATTTTTATATTTTTCTTATTTTCCTAGACATTGTGATTTATAGCAGTTTATTTTGCTTTGTTTTAATCTAGGATCCAAACAAATATCACGCATCTTATGCGATTTTTATGTATATTCTTTTAATCTAGAATGTTCTCTCATCATTTGTTTTTCATAAGATTGACCACTGGGCTGGGCACAGTGGCAGATCCCAGACCTTGGGAGGCCAAGGTGGGTGGATCACGAAGTCAAGAGATCGAGACCATCCTGGGCAACATGGTGAAACTCTGTCTCTACTTAAAAAAAAATTAGCCGGGCTTGGTGGTGAGTGCCTGTAGTCCCAGCTACTTGGGAGGCTGAGGCAGGAGAATTACTTGAAACCGGAAACGGAAGTCGAAGTAAGCCAGGATCCTGGTGATAGAGTGAGACTATCTCAAAAAAAAAAGATTGACCAGTGGGCACAGTGGCTCACATCTGTAATCCCAGCACTTTGGGAGGTTGAAGCGGGCAGATCACCTGAAGTTGGTTAAGGTGGTATTCACCAAATCTTTTAATTGTAAAGATACATTTTTTTCCATTGTGATTGGTCCTAAACCACCGGTTGATATTTGAGGCTATAGCTTGTTCTCTATCAGTCTTTTTAAATATAATATTTAATCATTTATTAATGTTCATTTTCTAAGTTAATGATTACATTGATGGTCGAAAATGACAATTTTTGCTGGGCACAGTGGCTCACCCCAGTAATCCTAGCATTTTGGGAGGCCAAGGCAGGTGGATCACCTGAAGTCAGCAGTTCGAGACCAGCCTAGCCAACATGGTGAAACCCTGTCTCTACCAAAAATGCAAAAATTAGCTGGGTGTGGTGGCACATGCCTGTAGTCCCAGCTACTTGGGAGGCTGAAGCAGGAGAGTTGCTTGAACCCAGGAAGTGGAGGTTGCAGTGAGCCCAGATCACACCACTGCACTCCAGCCTGGGTGACAATTTTCTAATTCCATCATTCCTTTTTTAGCTAACATTTTCTGGTGAAGATGAGCTTCTCTTTGTTTTCTTCTCCATTTGCTGTTTTTGTTTTTGTTTTTTTATCTTTTGAATACCGTATAGACTCATGAATTTTTTTTGTTTGGGTAGTTTTATTTATTTGTTTGTTTGTTTTTCTCAAGAGACAGGGTCTTCCTATATTGCCCCGGTTTGACTCCAATTCCTGGGCTCAAGAAGTCCTTCTGAGGTGGGTGGATCACCTGATGTCAGGAGTTCAAGACCAACCTGGCCAACATGGTGAAACTCCATCTCTTAAAAAAAAAAAAAAAAAAAGAAGTCCTTCTGCTTCAGCCTTCCAAAGTGCTGGGAAGCATAAGCTATCATGCGCGGCATAAAATCGAGTATATTATAATCTGTTATCACCATTATATAGGGAACTACTCAGAATTCCCTGATTTTACCACAGGAGCCTCTTTAAACTTGTCCCTGTTTCCTTTATGTGTGTCTTCAGATTACTCATCCGTGAGCACTTCCCTGCTTTCTGCTGTTTAGGGTGGTGAGGATATAGTTTTTTATTTTGATTTTTCTGCTGCTGTTGTTCTATTTTACTTTTTCTTTCTCTGGCCTGCATCTGGAATCAACTATTTCACTCAAGAAGCTTTGGTTTCTTTTAGTGAGGATTGTTATTTAGAAGTCAAAATTTGAATTTTCCATGTGCTTTTTGCTACTAGGGTGTTTGTTATTGCTGTTATGCCATGCGTCTAGCCCCTTTCAGGACCATGGAATGAAAAAATACATGTACACACGTGTGTGTTTTAATTTCCTATTGCTGTGGAAGAAATTACCACAAATTTAGCAGCTTAAATATCATCCATTTATTATCTCACAGATTCCCTGGAATTGTAGTTTATTCCTGGCTTAGTTGGATCCGCTATTCTGGGTTTCATAAGGCTAGAATCAAGGTACCATCTGAGGCTGGGGCTTCTATTCCAGACTCACATGGATGTAGGCAAAACTCATTTATTTACAGTTGTGTAACTCATGGTTGGTGGCTTGCTTCTTCTAGTGTTCAACAAAGAGAGTCTGCTTCTGTAAGACTGAACCGAGAGGCATCCTAAGCCTTTGTTGAGATACTAAGAGTACAGTTCCATGACTTTTATTATATGTACAGAGTTGCACATATATCGCCACAGTCAGTTTTAAAACATTTTTATTATTCCAGAAAGAAACCCACATCCCTAGGCACTCCCTAATTTCTCTACCATTAGGCAACTACTTACCTGCTTTCTGTTCATTCTAGAAATTTAATGTGTGGAATGTATGTAATATAGATACATTTTTTTTTAATCTGTCCTGGATATTTAGTGTCATACAATATGTGTTTTTTTGTGATTGAGTTCTTTTTTGTGTGTGTGTGAGATGGACTTTCACTCTGTCTCCAGGCTGGAGTGCATGGTGCTATCTCAGCTCACTACAACCTCCACTCCACCTCCTGGGTTCAAGCAATTCCCCTGCCTCAGCCTCCCGAGTAGCTGGGACTACAGGCATGTACCACCATGCCCAGCTACTTTTTGTATTTTTAGTAGAGACAGGGTTTCAACATGTTGAGCAGAATGGTCTTGATCTCTTGACCTCATGATCCACCCACCTTGGCCTTCCAAAGTTCTGGGATTACAGGACTGAGCCACCACGCCAGGCCATGACTGAGTTTTTTTCACTTAGCATATTGTTTTCAGGTTTCATGCATGTTGTAGTATATATCATTCTTGTCTTTTTTGCCAAATAATATTCCATTGCACATGTATATACCATGTTTTATTTATCTGTTCATCAGTTAGTGAACACTTGGGTTGTTTCTGCTTTTGCCTATCACAAGTAATGCTGCTATAAACACTTGTTTACATCTACAGTTTCATTTTTTATAGCTGCATCATACTAGATTATATAGATACTTCATAGTCTAACCAGTCTAGTAAGGAAGGTTTGTTCTAATATTTTCTTCTATAGATAATGCCCAGTGAATAATCTTATCCATATATTGTTTGATATTTTAGAGGTATATCTTCAGGGTGAATTCCTAGAAATTGAATTACTGGGTTAAATAGTAATTGTATATGTGATATTGTAAATATTGCTAAATTCTGCTTCCATGGGAATTGTATCCTTTTGTAGTCCTAGAAGTATGTAAGTGGCCTTACTTTTCCATAACCCATCCTATGTTGTCAAACTGTGGTATGTTTATTAATCAATAGGTGAGAAATTTCAATTCATTTTTTTTTTTTTTGAGGCGAGGTCTCGCCCTGTCACCCAGGCTGGAGTGCAGTGGTGCAATCTCAGCTCACTGAAACCTCTACCTCCTGGGTTCAAGCAGTTCTCCTGCCTCAGCCTCCCGAGTAGCTAGGACCACAGGCATACGCCACCACGCCTGGCTAATTTTTGTATTCTTAGTAGAGACGGGGTTTCACCATGTTGTCCAAGCTGGTTCAGTTCACATTTTTTTGCAAGTAGTGCTGTGAAGCATCTTTTTATGTCTTTGAAGGCTACTTAATATCTTTTTCTTTTAAGTGTCTTTTCAGGTTTGTTTCCCCATTTTCTATTGGATTCCTAGCCTTTATCCCCCTCAATTTTAAGGAGTTCTTTATTAGATATTCCTTTGTCTGTGATATAAATTGTAGATATATTTTGTCAATTTGTTATTTGACTTTTGTGCTTATTGACCGTATCTATTGTTATGCCAGTAATAATATGTTGTTACTGTTCAAACACTGTATTGATTACTATAGCTTTTTTATTTATTTATTTATTTTTTTAGAAACAGGCTCTCACTCCAAGGCCCAGCCTGGAGTGTAGTAGCACAAACATGGCTTAATTCAGCCTCTATCTCCCAGGCGCAAGCCATCCTCCTGCCTCAGCCTCCTGAGTCGCTGGGATGAGAGAAGTGGATCATCATACCCAGCTATTTTTTAAATATTTTATAGCAATCAGGCCTCATTATGTTGCCTAGTATGTCTCAAACTCCTGGCCTCAAGCTATCCTCCCATCTCAGCCTCCCAAAGTGCTAGGATTATAGGTGTGAGCCACTGCTCCTGGCCAAAGATTGTTTTGGCTATTCCTGGGTTTGTCATTTCTCCGTGATTTTTAGGGTCAGCTTATCTATTTCTGCAAAAAATGCAGCTGGAATTTTGAACAGAATCTATAGATCAACTTAGGAAGTTTTGCCATCTTAACAGTATTTAGTCATCATATCTGTGAATATGGGATGTCTTTCCATTTATTTTTACTTTTTTTTGTTTTGTTTTGTTTTAAGGCAGAGCCTCGCTCTCTTATCCAGGCTGGAGTGCAGTGGCCTGATCTTGGCTCACTGCAGCCTCCACCTCCCGTGTTCAGGTGATTCTCCTGCCTCAGCCTCCCAAGCAGATGGGACTACAGACGCATACTACCATGCCTGGCTAATTTTTTGTATTTTTGTAGAGACAGGGCTTCGTCATATTGGTCAGGCTGGTCTCAAACTCCTGATCTAAAGTAATTTGCCCACCTGGCCTCCCAGATTGCTGGGATGACAGGCATGAGGCACCATGCCCAACCTATTTTGATCTTGGCAGGCACCTATAATCCTAGCTACTCAGGAGGCTGAGACAGCAGAGTTGCTTGAACCCGGGAGAGAGAGGTTGCAGGGAGCCAAGATCGTGCCACTGCACTCCCGTCTGGGTAATAAGAGTGAAACTCCATCCCCAACCAAAAAAAAAGAAAAAGGTTCATATTTTTATATAATTGGGTTTACCATGTTGCTTTGTTTTTTGTTTGTGTTTTGAGACAGTCTCACTTTGTTGCCTAGGCTGGAGTGCAGTGACACAATCAAGGCTCAATGCAACATCAGCTGCCTAGGCTCAAGGGATCCTCTTGCCTTAACCTCCTGAGTAGCTGGGTCTGTAGGCTAATGCTGTTACAACCAGCTAATTCTTTTATTTTTTGTAGAGACAATGATGTCTTGCCATGTTGCCTAAGCTTATCTTGAGCTCCTGGCCTGAAGTGATCCTTCTGCCTTGGCCTCTGTATCTGGCCTTTTTTTCTTTCTTAATTGCTTCTGGATTTTGTGTGTGTGTGTGTGGATATTTTTTTTTTTTTTTTTAAGACAGGGCCTTCCTCTCATCCAGACTAGAGTACAGTGGCACAATCCCAGCTCACTACAGTCTCCCCCTCCTGGTCTCAAACATTCATCTTATCTCAGCCTCCCCCAGTAGCTGGGACTACAGGTACATGCCACTACACTCAACCAATTTTTTTTATTTTTTGTAAAGACAGGGTCTCCCTGAGTTGCCCAGGCTGGTCTTGAACTCTTGAGTTAAGTCCCTCCTTGGCCTCCCAAAGTGGCTGGGGTTGTAGGTGTGAGCCACCGCACCCAGGTTGCTTTTTTTTTTGACAGAGTTTTGTCCTTGTTGGCCAGGCTGGAGTGCAGTGGTGCAATCTCAGCTCACTGCAGCCTCCACCTCCCAGGTTCAAACAATTCTCCTACCTCAGCCTCCCGAGCAGCTGGGGTTATAAGCATGTGCCACCACACCCTGCTATTTTTCTTTTTAATGGCAGGAACAGCCTTTACTGGCTGCAGGAAGTGGAAGAGGGGATACAGCTTTTACGGACTAAATTGCCACCCTCCAAAAAAGACTTCTGTATTTTAAGTCATTAGAAAAGCTCTCCCACACCTAAATTTTAAGTAAGAAATTTCTTTTATTTTCTTCTGGTAATTACTAGCATTCAGTTTTTACATCTAGTTTCCTGATACATTTGGAATTTTTTCAGGTATATTAGTCTGGGCTAATACTGAAGAAGTAAAAAGAAAGTTATTACTTCTCAAGTACCTATTATGTGCCAGTTACTGTGCTAATCAGTTTATGTACATTATCTTATAAATTTAATCTATTCAAGAACCTTGTGAGAGAACAGGTATTATTATTATTGAAGAAGCTGAGGCTTAGAGAAACTTAAGTAATTTGTCTAGGGTTGTACAGTTAGTGGCATAGTTAACATTTGAATTCCAGCAGTAATTGGCTGCAGAGTTTGTACTTTTTCCCCACCTAGCCTCTACAGTAGTGAAATATCTTTTGCAGTTTTTTTTTTTTTTTTTTTGAAACAGGAGTTTCACTATATTGCTGAGGCTGGTCTCAAATTCCTGGGATCCTTCCACGATGATCCTTTAGCTGCAACCTGCAAAAAAAACCTGGGATTATAGGCATTTGCACCACCACCAGCTAAATGTCTTTTTTTTTTTTTTTTTTTGGAGACACAGTTTTGCTCTCATCACTCAGGCTAGAGTGCAGTGGCCTGATCTTGGTTCACTGCAGCCTTAGCCTCCCAAGTTCAAGTGATCCTCCTGTCTCACCTTCCTGAGTACCTGGGATTACAGGCATGTGCCACCACGCCCGGCTAATTTTTCTATTTTTTTTTAGTAGAGATGGAGTTTCACCATTTTGACCAGGCTGGTCTTGAACTCCTGTCCTCAGGTGATCCACCCGCCTCGGCCTCCCAAAGTGCTGGGATTACAGGTGTGTAACCATGCCCAGCCTTCATGTCTTTTTATGCTTAGAAAAAAGTCTAACTTGGCTGCGTGTGGTGGCTCATACCTGTATGAGCACCCAGAGTGCTCAATCCCAGCACTTTGGGAAGCCAAGATGGGAGGATTCCTTGAGGCCGAGAGTTTCACACCAGCCTAGGCATGATGGTGAGGACCCATCTCTACCAAAAGTTTTAAAGAATTATCCAGGCATAGTTGCACACACACCTGTAGTCCTAGTTACTCAGGAGATTGGTATGGCGGGATTGCTTGAGTCCAGCAGTTAAAGGCTGCATTGAATTAGGATTGTACCACTGTATAACCTGGGCAGCAGAGCAAGGCCCTGTCTTTAAAGCAAAACAGTAAAACATGGATAACTTGTCTGGACCATTTGATTAATTCCTTTTTTAGTTAGAATATTAGCTCTAGAATAACATGTACATTTTTTATATTATGTACTCTTTAGGGTAAAGTTTATATAGTAATCTGAAAATATAATTTTACCTTTTTATTTTTTTCTAAAAGTGCTGTACTCCTTGATGATTTTAAGTTGTGTAGTAAAATGGTCTGGATTGGAGCAAGGTTAAGGAAAGGTGGCATTATAAAAAATCATGCTTCCCCTTTCTTCAAATTCATATTCTCAGGGCAAAAGAACATTAAGGGAGTTTATTTTCCTGTTGTCTATATATGATGTTCAGAAGTATTTTAACCCTGGTTTTTGTTTTGTTTTGTTTTGTTTTGTTTTTTGAGATGGAGTCTTGCCTCTGTCACTGGGCTGAAGTGCAGTGGCACGATCTCGGCTCACTACAACCTCCGCCTCCCAAGTTCAAGCGATTCACCTGCCTCAGCCTCCCAAGTAGCTGGGATTACAGGCACCCAACACCACGCCCAGTTAATTTTGTCTTTTGTAATTTTAGTAGAGATGGAGTTTCACTATGTTGGCCAGTTTGGTCTCAAACTCCTGACCTGGTGATCTGTCTGCCTCGGCCTCCCAAAGTGCTGGGTGCTAGGATTATAGGCGTGAGCCACCGGGCCTGGCCAGTATGATCCTTTTTTTTTAGACAGAGTCTTGCTCTATCATCCAGGTTGGAGTGCACTGGCACTATTTTGTCTCACTGCAACCTCCACCTCCTAGGTTCAAGCAGTTCTCCTGCCTCAGCCTCTCAAATAGCTTAAATTACAGGTGCCCGCCACCACACCTGGCTAATTTTTTGTATTTTTAGTAGAGATGGGGTTTCACCATGTTGGTGAGGCTGGTCTTGAACTCCTGACCTCAGGTATTCCACCTGCCTTGGCCTCCCAAAGTGCTGGGATTACAGATGTGAGCCACCACGTCCAGCCGATCTTTTTCAACAATTTTTTTTTTTTTTTGAGACAGAGTCTCACTCTGTCACCCATGTTGGCATGCAGTGGCACGATCTTAGCTCACTGCAACCTCCACCTCCTGGATTCAAGCAATTCTTGTGCCTCAGCCTCATGAGTAGCTGGGATTAGCGGCGTATGCCTCTACGTCCAGCTAGTTGTTGTATTTTTAGTAAAGATTGGGTTTCACTTTTTTGGCCAAGGCTGGTCTTGAACTACTTGCCTCAAGTGATCTGCCTGACTCAGCCTCCCAAAGTGCTGGAATTACAAAATTGAGCCACCACATCCAGCAAACCCTGATATGATCTTAATTTATCTTTTATATAGGTCTGGACCATTTCTCCCTGTAAATAATTGGTTATGCTGGAATATGTAAATTTATGTTAATCTAAGTAAAATTAGCAAAATAAATCTGTTCTGGAAAGTAGACTGTACTTTGGTTGATAGAGTGTTTTGAGATAAATGTTAACATCTTTAGGAAGATAATTTATGAAAATAGTATTTTCAAAAAAGTTTTAACTGCCAATGGAATGCAGAATAGATTGCCATTTGTGGTTATAGAATTTATCAAATCATTTTTTAGCTACATCTTTTACTAGTTATATGAATTTAGACAAGTTACTGATTTGGGCAACCTTTGATCCTCTGTGTCCTCAGCTTTAAAATGGCAGTGATAAATAATACCTATTACTCAGTTATCAAAGGTAAAATGCTTTCCATACACGAAATAGGCATTCAAAATATTTTTTAATGTCTTGCTCCACAGTTAGTAGATTGTGACCTTGGACAAATTATTTAACTTCTCTAACACTCTTTCTTCCTCTTTATAAGTAATATGGCCTCCTTGAAGTCATTATTCCCTACCTAGATTCCTTTGAAATCTTGTTACTTCCTTCAGAATCATTGCATAGTATTTAAGTCCCACCCTTAACTTGTGTAACCTATTTTTCTAGTTATTTGTCCAGTCATAGTCCTCAAATATTTGTTCCTTTAGCCACATCTGATCATTTTCATTACTTCCTCCATCCTACACTTTCCTCCTGGGGCTTATCCTAGATGTTTGCTCTGCGTAGTATAAACTACCTTCCCTACTTTACTTTTCCTTGTCAAAATCCCATTTATCTTTTCAAATAAGTTTTCTTATTTCTTTTCTAACTACAATTACTTTTATTTTTCCTTTTGTAGAACTTAGTGTTTCCTCCTAGTAACTAGTGTTACGAGTTTTATCACATTCTGTTTTTTTGGTGGTAGGGGGACAGTCTTGCTCTATCACCCAGGCCGGAGTGCAGTAGTGAGATCTCAGCTCACTGCAACCTCTGCCTCCTGGGTTCAAGTGTTACTAGTGCCTCAGTCCCCCAAGTAGCTGGAATTACAGGCACCACCACCCCTGGCTAATTTTTGTATTTTTAGTAGAGATGGGATTTTGTCATGTTGGCCAGGCTGGTCTCAAACTCCTGACTTCAGGTAATCTGCCCGCCTCAACTTCCCAAAGTGCTGGGATTACATGTGTGAGCTACTGCTTCTGGCCTCAAAGTTTTATCACATTCTGATAGGTAATCTAGGTATATGCATACATATTTGTTTTCCCACCAAATTGTAAACTTCTTATGACCAGGGACACCCTTCATTTGACTTGGATGCCTTGAAGAACCCAGTGGTATTTTCTACATCTAATTACTAAAATATCTATCACTTAACATCTCCTTAAAGAGATTTAAATGCATCTGCCTTCTCACATGGTAACAAATACATGGAAATTATTTTGGTTCGTCAATTTCATATTTACCTAAGATAGGTATTTCAAAAAGGAGTAAATGCCAAAACTTTGGGAGGCCGAGGCAGGCAAGTTGCTTGAGCCCAGGAGTTGAAGACCAGCCTGGGAAACATGGTGAAGCACTGTGTCTACAAAAAAAAAAAAAAAGTCCTATCCCTTCATGATAGCAGTGGTAGCATGCTCCTCTAGTTCTAGCTACTCAGAGAGTGAGGAGGCTGAGGTGAGAGAATCACTTGAGTCTGGGAGGCTGAGGCTGCAGCTGCAGTGAGCCAACATCTTGCCACTGCACCCTACTCTGGGAGACAGAATGAGACCCTGTCTCAAAAAAGAAAAGAAAGAAAAATTCCTGTCATCTAGTGCTGTCATAGCTTTCCTAGCATTGGCTTTTTTGTACAGTGTACAGTAATGTCCTAGGCTTTCACACTGATTCACCACTCACTCACTGACCCACCCAGAGCAACCTCCCAGTCCTGCAAGGTCCCCTCATGGTAAGTACTTTATACAGGTGTACCATTTTTTATCTTTTACACCATGTTTTTACTCTTCCTTTTCTATGTTTAGAAATGTTTAGATATACATATACCACTGTGTTACAACTGCCTGCAGTATTCAGTACAGTTATATACTAAACAGGTTTGTAGCCTAGGACATATAAGCTATACTGTCTAGGTTTATGTAATTATATTCTGTGATGTTCACACAGCATTTGTCAGAATGCATCACTATCAAATGACTTTATATTTGTATCCAAAACAGCTTCTATGAGCAACATTTATTACATTTATTAAGTCATGTTTGTATTCTCCATTGCTGTTTATAAAGTGCTTTTATGTATATCTGCATTTGAGTTAGTTTTGCTGCATTTAAGTGCATCTGTGTTATAGTCCTAGATTTATATTAATAGACTCAGATCACAACAGTCATTATAAATATATTTTTACTAGAACATTGTTTAAAATCCAAGACAGTTTTCTTTCCCTGTCAGTGTGATTTAGACCCTGTTTTTCTTCTGGTTATTTGGTACTAAATAATTTTATACTTGTTTAAATATTAATCCAGGCTGGGCACGGTGGCTCGCGCCTGTAATCCCAGCACTTTCGGAGGCCGAGGCAGGCGAATCACGAGGTCAAGAGATCGAGACCATGGTGAAACCCCATTTCTACTAAAAAATACAAAAATTAGCTGGGCGTGGTGGCGCTCACCTGTAGTCCCAGCTACTCGGGAGGCTGAGGCAGGAGAATTGCTTGAACCTGGGAGGCGGAGGCTGCAGTGAGCCAAGATTGTGCCACTGCACTCCAGCCTGGTGCCTGGCAACAGAGCAAGACTCTGTCTCAAAAAAAAAACAAAAAAATAAATAAATATTAATCCTTCAGTCCTAATGAGTTAAAAAATAATAAATATTAATCTTAGTAAATTAATATGAGAGTAAATCAATTAAAAAGTATTTGATATTTTCCTAAATCACATCATATTTATTAACTGTTTTTATGAATTATCAAAATAAACTGGCCAGATGAAGTGGCTCACACCTGTAATCCCAATACTTTGGGATGCCAAGACAGGCGGATCACCTGAGGTCAGGAGTTCAATACCAGCCTGGCCAACATGATGAAACCCTGTGTCTACTAAAAATACAAAAAATAACCGGGCATGCTGTAATCCCAGTAGCTGGTGCCTGTAATCCCAGCTACTTGGGAGGCTGAGGCACAAGAATTGCTTGAGCCTGGTAGGCACAGGTTGCAGTAAGCCAAGATCATGCCACTGTACTCCAGCCTGGGCAACAGAGTGAGACTGTGTCTCAAGAGAAAAATAAATAAACAAACTAAATAGATTGTCTTAATATTATGTCCTTCATGGCAGTCTTTCCTTCTTTTTTTTTCCCCGAGATGGAGTTTTGCTCTTCTTGTCCAGGCTGGAGTGTAATGGCGCAATCTTGGCTAACTGCAACCTCCATCTCCTGGGTTCAAGCGATTCTCTTGCCTCAGCATCTTTAGTACTGGGATTACAGGCACATGCCACCATGCCTGGCTAATTTTTGTATTTTTTAATAGAGACGGGTTTCACCATGTTGGCCAGGCTGGTTTTGAACTCCTGGCCTCAGGTGATCCACCTGCCTCAGCCTCCCAAAGCGCTGGGATTACAGGCATGAGCCACTACGCCCGGCCAAAAAATATATCTCGGGATATAATCCATGATCATGCATTACCTTTTGTTACCGTGCTTTTATTTTATTATTTATTTATTTATTTATTTATTTGACAGGGTCTTTCTCTGTCACTCAGGCTTGAGTGCAGTAGTGCTATCTGGGCTCCCTGTAGCCTCTGCCCACCCCAGGCTCAAGTGATCCTTTCACTTCAGCCTCCCAAGTAGCTGGGACCACAAGCATGCACTATCACACCCAGCTTTATTTTTTCCCTGGTATTTCAGAATTTTGCCATGTTGCCCAAGCTAGTCTTGAACTCCTGACTGAGCCCAAGCAATCCACCCACCTCTGCCTCCCAAAATGCTGGGATTACAGGCATGAGGCACTGAGCCCAACCATCTTTTTATTCTCTATTAATTTGGAACTGTTTTCAGCCTCTTTCATGAAATTGACATTTTTTAATATAGAGCAGTTGTTGCATACAGGGTTTTTAAATTTGAATTTGTTGTATCTTCATGAATAGATAGAGATTGTGCATTTTAGGTAGGAATAACACAGAAGTGATACTGTTTTCTTTGTGAATTTAATCAGGAAGCATATGATATCACTGTGCCATTGGTGGCATTAACTTTGGTTGTTTTTTCTTTGTGACACATACCAGATTATTCCTCCCATGTTCAAGCGATTCCTCTGCCTCAGTCTCCAACTAGCTGGAATTACAGGCGTGGACTACCATGCCCAGCTAATTTTTGTATTTTTAGTAGAGACAAGGTTTCGTCATGTTGACCAGGCTCATCTTAAACTTCTGACCGCAGGTGATCCACCCGCCTCAGCCTCCCAAAGTGCTGGGATTACAGGCATGACCCACTGTACCTGGCCTAAAATGGTTATTTTCTTACTTTGCCATTATCTATCTCTTAACTGGCATTCTCTTTACTCTTACTTATTATCAGTACAGACTCACTTTATTTGATGAAGTGTCTCAGATTGCAGCCAGTGGTAACCCTTCCAGGCTGGTTCCATCATATTTATTTTTTTAACACTTACACTCTGTCAAAAAATAAAGCTAAACCACCATAGAGGGGTAAGAGAAATGACTATTTTAAGAAAAGATATAAGGCAAATATAGCAAAATTCTAATTATAGAATCTAAAAGGTAGATATAAGGAATTTTTGTACAGTTACTTTAAACTTTAT